TAAAGATAGAGACAGAAAAAAATATAGCGGACATTTTAACCAAAGCGTTAGATAGACAAAAGCTTACTAAGTTCAGGGAAATGCTACAAATTGTAGAATAACTGGTAGGAAAGTTAACTGTAAGAATACAAATGTAAGGAGGCGTGTTAAGTATGTACACTTGTATTCTGTATTGTACTGACGCGAAGCGGGACACGTAAGAACTAATAGAGTAAGAACGTTAGCGTGTGCGCAGCCGCACTAATGAGGACCGCAGAACACCACGAGAACAAAGAAAGAAAGCGACGCTCCTCCTGTAACGCCTACCGTCACGTCACACAATGTATTATCAATTATTATAAGCACAATTATATAAAAGGTATAAAGTAAAACTACTTCTCAGTTATTTTTCACAGTATTACCAAAAAAAAATAGTTTACGCATACCGGAGTGAGAAAATTTTGTTATAAAAAAGCCAAAGTTGCCCAAATCGTACCTCTAAATTGCTTACAGATAATCATGTCTTCGAATGTAGGAAAGCGGAAATATGGCAAATGGACAGCGGATGATATGGAGAGAGCTCTGGAAGAATATGCTGAAGGAAAATTGGGCTTGAATGAGTGTTGCCGAAAATACGAAATACCGAAACNAACGTTATTGCGCCACTTCAGAGGAGGTGTTCAAAGAGGATCAGATCGTACTGCCGGAAAGCGATCGAATGTTGGTGTTAATGGTGAGTAGATATTACGTACCTACCTCGACATTTCGATGCATACAATTTCAAAATTTTGTGACTAGACTTACGTGAGGTGTGTTTTTGTTTATGAACAGGTCGATTAACTGCTTTACCTTCTCATGTTGAAAACGAGTTAGAAGAACACTTATTGCACCTTGACAAGTATTTCTTTGGCTTAACAATCACAGATGTGAGGAATCTCGCTTATTCCATCGTNGAAAAAAATAATCTGAAGAATATTTTCAATAAAGAAATGAAGCAAGCTGGTAAAAAGTGGTACTACGGATTTATGGCCAGGCACCCAAAGTTGTCACTACGACAGCCAGAAAGTATTTCAATAAGTCGAGCTAAAGGATTCAATCGAGAAAATGTAAACGAATTTTTTGATTTGTTAGAAGCAGTCGTCGATCAGAATAAGTTTGACGCAACCAGTATATACAATATGGACGAAAGTGGATTTTCTACAGTCCAAAAGAAAAACAGCAAAGTGATTTCAGAAAAAGGAAAACACCAAGTGGGTGCCATTTCGTCTGGTGAAAGAGGAGTAAACACTACGTTCGTCTGTTGTTGTAGTGCAGCTGGCAGCTTCGTTCCACCCATGATTATTTTCAAACGAATAAGATTTCACGCCGCCCTTGCCAAAGATAAACCAGCTGGGAGTTTGATCGAAGTGTCCGAAAGTGGTTACATCAATACGGAATTGTTCATTAAATGGTTACAACACTTCATCGAAACAGTCAAACCAACTCCTAACAAAAAGGTGTTATTATTGTTGGATGGGCATACTACTCACTCCAAAAATCTAAAAGCAATCAATCTTGCTCGAGAAAATGGAGTAATCATGCTCCAGTTACCTGGCCATACCACANACCGCCTCCAGCCTTTAGATGTTGCAATTTTCGGACCGATGGAGACTTATTACGGACAAGCAATTCAGCAATGGCTTAGAAGTAATCCAGGCAAAAAAGTTTCTCANTTCGAAGTCGCAAAATTATTGAATACAGCTTATTCCAAAGCTGCTTCTATCGAAAATGCTGCACAAGGATTCAAGGCCACTGGTTGTTGGGAGGTAAATCGTCACGTGTTTAAAGAAAGTGATTTTGTGGCAAGCGATAATTTGAATTCCGTTGAGAAATCCAGCGATGAAGAAAACGAAGAAGACATTGACGATCCTGATCCTGTCGCCGGCCAAAATGAAAACGATTTAAACCTGATGAACTTAGATGGTACACCAGCGACACCTTCCATATCTCCGTTGATGGAACTGCAACGTAAGTCAGCGACACCTTCCACATCTCCGTTAATGGAACCGCAACCAAGTACATCGATGTCAACATCTCCGTCACAATTACAAGTACCAGTAAAAGAAATAAGCCCTGTGCCCGTTCCAAAAGGGAGAACAAAAACCAGATTTCAAAAAGGAGCGCAGAAAGCTATCGTAATAACAACATCACCCTACAAAGAAGATTTAGAAATTAAGCAAAAAAAGAGATTGGAGAAAGAAGCCCGTAAAGAAGAACGTGAAAAGAAAAAACAAGAGAAGGAGGCCGAAGGAGTTATTGTCACAAAAAAAGCGCCTAACCAAAAAAAAA